CGTCCCGTTTATGTATCGCGCTTGTCATAGACCGAAAGAATAAATAGCGAAGGGGGTGATGTAGCCAACTGCTGGCATTCAGATGCTCTTAAAATTCTAGAACCTCTACGGTAAGCGTAAACGGCATACGTGAATAAAAGATATTCAACCGTGGATGGTGAGCAGTGACTTATGACGTTGTGATTTATAGCCAAACGTAGGAAGAAGAGATTCTTTCTATTAAATACCATTTCTCTAATTACATTGAGGGGAAAATATAAAAATTACATAAAAATTCTTTAGTTAAGATATCCTATCTTCCATTAAAAAAAAATCCGGAACAAGCTGAATTCTTTTCATTCTTTTGTGCCACTTTTGCGTTTCTTACAACGTAACATTACCTAAGGGGTAAAAAAGTCAAATATTTCTATATATCTTGAAAAATTATAAAATACTAGATAGGAAATTTTAACCAAGAGGGACGAAATTCGTCGCAGACGGCAATCGTTAAACAGGTAGATGCGTTCTACGAGGACGATTACGAGTAATTGAGCTAGTTTATCCGTGACAGAAAAATCTTGCATGCAACCGAACCACAGAGGAGGAAGAGGAGGGAGCGTTTAACACAGGATGTTCCTCTCCACCTTGTACCCGTGCGTGCAACGTTGTATTTCGTTCATTTCCCGGCATTAACCTTTCGTGCGATCAAGTAAAAGGATAGAGAAAAGAGAAACTGCACGATCGCTGTGGCCTCTGTCCACTGGGAATGTTCCGTGACATTTTGTTCAACATACATCCGTGCATACTTCGCAAACCATAAACGGTTGATTGAGAGAGGAATTTCAGAGAAAAGGCGTAATTTCAGTTATTTTTTCACTCATACTCCATACTCAAGGTGAACAAGAACGTTTTCTCTCTGACGGAAACAGAAGACCATCGCGAAACCTGAAGGATTTACCTGGACGAAAAGTAACGTAGCTCCGGTCGTATGCAATTAAAAATTAAGGACCAGGTAATATGTTATGGCGAAACGAAACATTCCGCCGTGGAGATCTTTTTTCACGAGCGAACGAGAACAGCATTAGATACGAACAATAAGGGGAGAAGGCGTGACCGAGAGTTTTTCGAGTCTTTACCGATCCAGCTGCTCGTATATACCTACCTTCACCGTTGCTCTCTCGAAACCACCTCCGCACGATAGTTTCTTCAGATAGAACGAATACCGGCAGATCTCTCGAACAGACGCCCAGGAGGGGGTGGAACAGCTGTTCCGCTTAGAAACAGAACCTTCGCGGTCGAACGAATCGCGTGATACTTTCACCCCGCTCTCCACATTACTTCTTAATAATCCTCGTTTTTACACCCACGATTCCTCGAACGATTCGTCATTTTTTCATGTACGCACTGCATACGCGTTTCATCGGCCTATTTAAAACGTCCTACGCAAATGCAGCTGCCTTTAGCCGACGCCTCGTCACGATTTAAGTATGTGAAATTGAAGGAGGCGCGAGTTAACATTTGTTGGGTGTTTCGTTCCAAAAGTCATCGTGTCTGGTGGACTAGTTTTTAAACGGTTGTGGTTACGTTAGCGGTTAGAGTTCGTGGGTGGATGAAAGAAGGGGAGGAAAAAAAGGAAAGAAGTTGGGCCAGGAAACGCAGGATTGCCAGATGCCGAGGGTAATTAAATCGCCGTAAACAGGAGCAGAACCTTTCACGTTGCTTGACGGATGGCAGCCCTCGAGGCAGCTACCATCTTCGAAAACCAGGTCCTGCACGTCATCCAGCGTGCGAATAAGGGAAGTAAGTCGTGCCCGTTAACTGTACACTGAATGCGAATTTTGTCCCTCGCATTTTTGCTGATATCATTTAAAAACTCGTTTTTCCGTAAATAAGTCTTTAAAGGGCATTCATAAATTTTTTACGTATGGGAGATATAACGGATTTGGTGGTCTTTAAATATTACGTTATAGCCAGATGTTGGTGGCAATTAATCGTTGACCGAATATCCGTCGATCTGGGTATTAGATGGGTTCTCGTGTTTCTTCGGTCCAACAGGAAGCAGGAAGGACACGTCCGTTCAAAGGAAGAAAAGACGATACATCAAGGACCGCTCATCGATACAAAGAAATCGAATCCTCGGATGTTTGACTAGATTCTCCTTTTTTGATCAAATAATTCATTTCCTTTCACTGTAACGGACAATAATTTATTTCATTATCGCGCGATTGTACGAATATAAGTCGTTGAATGTTAAACGACGGCGTTGATTGAGTATCTTTAACTCTTTCATCGCTCATTGTTACATAAGATGTAAAGAGAAGATGCCTATCTTGCTTATCTGAAATATTTGGATAGATATTTAGCTCTTGGTTAATATGCACTTTTCCTATTGCAGATTTAAGGCAGGAAATACATATATAACTCTATTCGTGTGTTATCGCAACGATTACACTGCTCAACGTAGTAACTGCACAAATGTGTAAAACACTTACCTTTAAATAATAGTAAACATTTTGCGTCTCAATTTAGTGGAAAATTGCGGTAAAGTATTTATTTGATGGTTTCTCGGGTTACGGTGCTAAAAGGCTAGTACAAACGACGAGGAAAAGGATTTAAAAGTGAAAAACACATAATTGGAAACAGTAAGCGCGATCGAATCTCCGAGAGACCTGGGAACAAAGTTCCCGCCAATTTCTTAAAGTGTGCTCGAGGCAGTGTAACGGCCGCCGGTCCGAGATGCTTCGAAAGTGGCAGGTGCAACTCGAGCCAAACTTCATTAAACACAATCGCATCTGCGCCCTCATACTTCCAAAACGTCTTGTGGCCGATGCTGCTCTTCGAGACGAAGAAAGAAGAGGAAGAACAGGAAGCCTGTAGAAGCTTCAAAACAGTCGGTTGAAGCATTTCACCTTCCTTTCCTTGCGTCGAACTGCACACATTATGTCATATAAGACTTTTGCACACGTAACATCGATGAACTTACGAAACGGTACGAAAGACAAGGCGATCAATGATAGATCGATTCGATGTATCTGACCTTTCGAAACATTTGAATTCGAATGGTTTTTTGTCAATGAAAACACCCGTTCTGGATGCGAGCGTGGAAAAACTAGACGTTCGAGATGTTAGGTTGTGGTTCGTGCCGAAAGGGACCATAGACGAAGAGTAGTTACGGTTAAAACACAAATCGTTTCTTGGAAGGAAGCTGTAGCCACGTGGCTGATCCTTCAGGCACGCGTGCCTGGTCCTTTTGGCCTTTAAGATTTATTGATATTGGGATGTAGTCTACCGGCAGGCATCGAAACGGGATAAGAATTCAAATTAGACCATTATCGGCACGGACAAGCTGACTTTTCTTTTCCGCTAGTTACGCAATATATTTAAATATACTTTTAACAAATGCATTTCGAAAAAATATGTTAATGTCTAATTAGCGTTAATACGTGCTTCTTCGATACGTTTCTGTAAATTGTTCGGTACGAAACATTTACCGATTGTTTAAAATTTTCGTTCCAATAAAATTCAACAGATATTTTCTATTTAACTAGAGATTACGATAGATTTGTTCATAATAATTGACGCATGCATTATACTTGTGCACTATACGCACCGTAATATATCGATACGGTACAATGAAAGGAACATTTGCTAGATTACAAAAGACCTTGGATGAAAAATCATCTCTCCCCAATTTCTCATGAACTTACCTTCTTAGGAAAAGTACATGTTTTCCACAACTTGTGCAAGATATCGTAAAAGAGATCCCAGCTCGAGGAACAAGGCGCATAATAGGGTTTCCAGGTCCTTTAAACTTTAAAGGGAAGATCCTTGAACAGCTGACGCGTTCTAAGGTAACCATGTACACTCATTTGAAAAATTTTGTACACCTTAAAAAAGGCGTGTTGTTAGATTTCTCGGAAAATTTTAGGAAAGAAGTGAAAAGAATCGCTACGATTTTGCAAATATTTGATTGCAATCGGTGATTCATTCCTAGCGTTTCATTTTAAATTTAAAATCGCCTACCTTCGATCTTTTCTGTTGTATCATACGAGTCCATAAGTAGCATTACTTTTCACATATGGTAATACGGTTAAGCTGCTTGATTTCGCGATATGTACCCGAAGAAGTTTCAGGCAATTTTAACGTTGAAAGTTTTAATTTTACTATACGGATGCCGTTTGACTTTTATTAACTACGATTAGATTGGATATGTTTAGAACGTTTTACGAAAGTACTCGAACGCTTGTAATAGAAAACTTTTATGAATATATCGTGTCTGTTCAAAAAAATGTTTTGTTAGTTTACTAGTACTATAATGAAACACGATTATCACGATTATACTTATAAAATTTGAAGTCGATTCGAAAATGTATATATATAAGATACAAGATATTTGTTGAAAACATACGGTTTATAAAAAATTGGTATATACGGTATGATCGTTTTAAACACATAATTAAGGAATTGATTGTTCAGTGTAGGGATCTGCGCAAAGTGTATATTTGTATTCTCTGTGTACGTTTTCAATTTTGTTTCAATCTTTATTAATATTGTACATATCATACATATAAGTGTTCAAATATTTTTATCAACCAAATCTGTCCTAAAGGACTCTCCTGATTTATTGGTTCACTGAACAAACGACAGAAAGAACATAATCGAAGCGAAAAACGAAACAATTATTTCCGAGATTACAGGGAGCCAATAGCCCAAAACCAATTGCTTGGCGTGGGAAAACGGAAATGGTGATCGATATTTCTGCGAGGGTGAAAACTGCTTGAATTGAGTAGGATATCTTTAACGACCTAGACCAACTTTTTTCTAATAGTTGCTTAATTCCCACGGAAGTAAAAAATTTCGATCGATGCATACGTAGTTAAAAAGATCGTAAATATTCTCGACAAGCAATTAACGCCGATTATCATGGATTTTATTACAACATCTGTTATATACGATATGATATCCAGGTAGTAAAAGGAGGGTGTGCCCAGAATTTGATATTATTTTACCCAAAATCGCTATGAAATACGATCTTTTTCCGGTCTTATATTTACCAGGGTTTACATTAAACGACGTATTCTATCACTTATTCATAGATACCATTTATTTTTTTTTTTTTTTTTGGTATATCAAGAAGCATACGCAAGATGAAAAACTCATATTACTGCAAATAATTTTGTTTTCGAAAGTATAAAATTGTCGTGCAATTTTACTATTTTGCATTCAAATCGATTTTTGGTTCACACGACCGTTCACATGACGTAAAGAATATTGAAGTTTGACAAGTAAACGAGATAATTGGGGTGGGCGTAACCGTGACGGAACGTAAAGGGTGGTCGAAACATCGAATTGTTTCCTAAAGCAGGATAATTAACGAAAGTAGTATGCAGTTTCCCAGCGCCATATGTAAGCGTGTTGGTACATCATATGGGTCTGTTCGTCAATATGTACATTGAGCATGCTGCATTTGATCCCATCACTAATGAAAACCTATTGTTTATCGATATTTTGCAATGTCTTGGTAAATTTAAAACCTACTTACTTCTATAATAGATAATAATTGCACAAATTTTACTGGTGTTTATTATCAAACACCGTATCCTCTGTTTCTCTTGTACGTCACGCCTAGGTATCCAATTATACCGACGAGAATAATACCTCCGACAATACCACCTACTATGGCTCCAACATTACTATCAGTTGACTCATTATTGGCACAGTTCACTGAAAAAATATCTCTAGTATCTTCCTGACGTTATACAGATATTTAAGAGTAATGATAAATTTCAATTATAGAACCGATAAAATTGACGTTCGTTTTACCTGATCTTGAAGTAATATTTCTCGCCTTATTGAACGCGATCAAAGAAACTTTGCTGATAGTTATGACGACATTTTGAGCATTCACCGAAGTTTTATCGGAGCATTTGTACACATTGTTTAGAGGAGTGGAGAATATGTCGATGTTTTCCGTTATGACATTTATATATGAACCGGTAGCTACGAGCAAACTAGCATTAACATAATATACTATAATAATATAAAACTTCTTACAGCACATTTCGAAACCTTACCGTTAGCTCCAGGAAAATTATAATCATCTAAGTAAATAGACAGGTTCATAGATCGAATGAAATAATTTGAACTGTCATTCACAAAATTAAACGTAACCTTATTTTCTTTGTTTTCGTACTGGGAATTAGCTTTTGGATTCTCAGTCCAAATTAAATTCATTATAGATTTTTCATTCTCGCACGTGCCATTTACATTTACTTGCTTTCCAATCGGTACTATCAAAGTCGTTTGGTTCGTCTACAGAGTGTACAAGATTAATTTCATACCAAGCATGAATATTATTAGAACGAAGCGTGTATCGTGATGAAAATAGTTTAGATTCAAAAGATACGTACTGTAGATGTATTTTTTATTATGTAAGGTACTTTTATAGAAATCGACATATTAGCTGCGATGCAAGGCACATTTTCCTTATTTGTCACTACGTAAGAATAGCCTGTTACAGAAGGTATAGGTGTATCTCCGCCTGAGTTGGTAGAACACTGTGTCACTAAAAAAACAAAAGCATTTTTATTGTATTTGGAAGAATTTGCAATCTTTTAAGTACAATTTGACGCGATTAATATTAATTTACCTGTTTTCGAGCTCAAGTATGTTTCGGTGTTGAATGCGATAAATGTAACATTGGTTATTTTTAAGTAGATATCATCGATCTTTATTTCGTGAATAAGACTTGTGCAATTATAAAGTCCGTTATTCCCAGATGCCGAAAACAGATCCTGCATATTATATGACTCCCCCTGTATAGCTGTTGTTTTATCTAAAATTATTATTACGATGCGTTAATCGTGAAATAGGATTACAAAATATAAGAGCGCATGGATTTTGTGATATATAGACTGCGAATTCTTATGTAAATTCATATTTATAAGAATGTAATTAAGAAATTAGAACCTCGGTAAAAAATTGTTTTATCTATCAAATATCACAGAAAGCACTATATTTTGGATATCTTATATATTTTTTCGTACTATGCGCGTTCTATGCAATTTTGCATTTTCAATTCTCCTATAGATACATAAAAATCCGCAGTTTAGTGATACGCGAATGATTCCTAAACATAGTGGCACAACATACCATCTTTATTATAATACACGGTGGCCGCTACTTGATAAACGAAGAAGTTAGTCTCATTTTTACCAATATGAAATGTAATTGTATTCATCGTATTATTTTTGTCTGATTCTGACCAACTTAGTGTCATTTCAGAAGATTTATTACTGCAATTACCGCTAACAACAGCTGTAGATGGGACGTTTAGTGTTCTATTATTCTGTAAAATGTAGCATATGAGTCGATGTTGCTGTAACAGTAGCAGACCAAAAGCATATCACATGTTTTAGAAATTTACTTTTTTGTACAGTACTGTTGCGTCAATCGACATTCTCGCCAAGGTGCAAGGTATACCAGTATCATTTCGCCGTACAATATACGTGAAGTCACGTTCAAAATATACACTTCTACAGTCGGTTACTGAAATATTCAGATTTAGTTTCATTTTTGTAACCAATTGCATGTTACATGTGCGTGTAACCAATTTTTTCATCAATCGCTTGAAGCATCATGCTAGATTTGTCTCGGCTGATGGTGAAAATATTTTACCTTGTTTCGATGCGAAATCTTGTTGGGCATCGAAGGCGACTAAGAGAACATTGCGCATGGTTACGGTAATTCCTCCTATCGTCGTAAATACTTTTTCAGGGCAGCTATGGATTCCATTTTTGGCGGGTGCGGAAAAGAGATTCTTAAATGGCGCAACCATCTGAATGACTTCACCTACGTCTAACGGATTTATCATGTTTTAGCATAAATAATAAAAAAAAAAACAGATATTTTTAATGGTGCGATAATTTATACGCATACTCTGAGCATCATTAAAATGCGTCGTATCTATAAAAATGTTAGCAGTAATCACAGAAACGTGGCTGTCTATATCGTCTCTCTGTGAATGGAGTACAATTGTATTTGTTTTCTCATTTGCAAATGTCGATTCAGTTTTCGACACTTCTGAGTTCCAGTTTAATATCATAGTAGAAGTTCCCCTTGAAGAGTCACACGTTCCGGAAACATTAAGTGTGGTTGGAACTTCTATAATCGCAGTATCGTACTAAAGAAACGTAATTAATTTATATAAAAGTACTCTAACTTAAGAGATGTTTCATATCTCAATTCTTACTTGCGTATTGTTCTTTCTGTATGGTATCTTCAAAGAAATTGACATTTTTGCTAATGTACATACGATGCTGTTTTTATCCCTTAAAACGTAAGGAAACGTTGGAGTTTGTTTTTGGCCGGAGCATAGCTCTTCTACAAAACGATAAATGTTTATTAGATTTCCCATTCTTCCATACTCCGATTATTATTATTCTATTATTACATAATTATTCTATTATTAGAACGTTACGTGTTATTCTAGGATAACACGTAATATCTATTACAAATCGTACAAAGATAACATAGATATAATTTACCTTTGGGCGCAGAAATATCGCTGTTATTATAAAATTCGATTAAAAAAACGTTTTTTATTTTTATTGTTGCGTTACCAACTTTCACTTCCTCTCCTTCTCCGCACTTATAAATTCCATCCGTAACGGATGTAACGAATAAACGAAGATCGGTATCTGATGTTGCGTTAAACGGATCGCCTAAAGTATACATTTTTAAAAAAATTATGGAGTATAAGATGTGGCGTAGAAAGAGGTATTTAGCACTAAATTTTACCCTTTGAATTATGTTCTTTTGGGTATATATTGAGTCCAATAGAAAAAATTGAGAAATTTTCCTGGTCGTTGATAAATGTAAATTTAATTGTGTTTTCTTTGTCAGTGTTAGTTTCTTTCCAAATTAGTTTCATTTCTGATATTACAGATGAACAATGACCACCGACTGTAGCGTTGACTGGAACACTTAAGCTTTTATTGGAGTTCTGTAATGACAATTTTAATGCATCATATTGATTTACTCATAACCATTATACGCAATATAAAAAATATATCATATTTAGATCATACATTATTATACGGGATCGTAACGATAATTGACATATTTGCCAAAATACACGGCACTGTCGTTTTCGTGTTACGTACAACGTACAAAAAATCCTTTTCTGTTAGTAGTTTCCTTTCCTCGATATTCATCACATTTTTGTTTTCTAATCTCGATGCCAATTCTTGTCCATTAATGTTCTGAGAGAACGCTGAAACTTTTTATAACGTGATACACATTAAACCACTTTTATATACATTTATATACACGTCGTTAGCTTTAAATTTAATAATAAAAATTTTTTTTGTATTTAACACTTAACAAATTATAAGCAATTGCGACATTAAATACATTATATGATCTTACTGATAACGATTAAGGTAGATAAAAATAACAATCCCAATTGTCGGCGATTCATATTTCTTTCACAATTATATACTGTCTTATTCGATTCTGATAATTTTAATTACTCGCGACTTTAAATATTCCACAAGATAATTTGATTTTATGGTAAACAGGTTGAAAGTGAAAGAAAACGTATATGCTAGTGAATATAAAGGAATCAGCTTATCCCTACTCTTAAACATACATGTATCAACGTTATCGCTTATTTTCTGATAGACCGAGATAATACACGTTTCATTCGATATTTTCATTCGTTAATATATTTTTATAATTCATTACAGCGACGTATTATTACCTTAAGGACAATATCTAGAACGCACGCTTCTCCCTAGTTTTGTATAGAACTTTCATAATGTTTATATTTCAATTAATTTGACTAATTTCCTCACGCTGTACCTTGTCATATGTAACATTAGTCGATCGATAACTACGATAAAAATTATCTAATTACATAGTTCTCATACCGCTGCTACGAAGAAGCAAATCAATAATGGTAGATAACAACGAACTCGACAAAACTAAACTAGGAACTGATCGAAAAACTAAAATAAATAATAGGAAACAATTAACGGTAAAATGATCGATATATGTGCATTTTTGGAATGTCGGTTGCAACCGATACCTCTTATCACGGTTTTCCGTTTCTGTATCGCGATAAAGCCGTCGCTATCGATTCATACGTACAGTGGTTAACCGTAAGCATCAGCGAACAATATAATGCCTCGAACTCTCCCCTGATTTTTGTAGTTCGTGGGTGGTTGCGATTTTGACGAACGCCCTTCATGTGTTCGACGTGGGCGTAAGAACGGAGTGAAATTGAAAAAGAACGTGGCAAGCGTGACAAAAATTGGACAGGATGTGGTTGCACGCGCCCACGACAATCCACATTAACCGTGTATTAAGCAAAGGCAACCCCTCGCTCTCTTTTACCCGTTATTGTTCCTGGCAGCTGCCTAATTCACGGTTTCGCCTGATTTTTTCCTCCCTCTTTCTCCCTCGTTCTTTTCCTCTCTTCTCTCCAGACCACCGTTTCGCCAGTAAACTACCAACTTGTACCAAGTTGATCGCGTTATTACATAGTTATGAACTCCGATAATCATACAAACGAATAATAAAAATGAATCCTCCGTTCATTTTCTGCAGCGATCGTGTTATTCGCAGTATAATCAAAAAATCGCTAGATCGATGTTATTTACAGATAAGTCTTTTTTTCCGATAATCAACGCAATCTGCTTTTCTCTATATACGTCCACGTCACGTCATGTGTAACGATACAGCCAGTGGAAATATCTGGAAAATTCTTCTGTTGAAATATCATTTAAAACAGCGATGGATCCGATGAGTCAGGTAATGTGGTGTTTTACACTTCGATAATCGTCATTTCATCTTTGCCGCGAAAATTGCTCATTGGTTCCGGTCAACTTCTTCCTCCTCTCGTAATTGAGGCTACGTAGTCATGAAAGATATTCGTTTCGAAAGCGGAACCAATTAAAAGCAGAATAAAAATTTTAAATGGTATTTCAAAAAGAAGAATGTTTCTGATGTTTCCAGCGGCTTTACAAACGTTGTCGTAAGCGTGCAGAAAGAAGGAAGGACGCTGTTAAACAGCGAATAGTAGAATTTTCTCTTGTAAATAACATTAGTCTGGAAGCTTTCTGAGCGTACTTTTCACATAAATAAGTGTTTTATATATACGCAATTATACACAGGACGCAATCGACTCTGTATCTTGAAAAATGTCGGCTCAAATTAAATCAAATTAATATGTATCCAACGATACTATATATACGTCGTTTTTTGATATTTTCTTACCAGGCACTAAAAAACCGGTAACTCTCTGTTTCGCGCAAAATAAAGTTATCCTTTGATCTTTCGCAAGAATTTACGACAGTATGCGCAATGGTCAATTTGGTACGACCAGATGTTAGTCGTTCCTCTGTTTGCCTCTTTTAGAATCCTAAGCGATCTCGTTTTCATGCCACGTAGAAAGGGAAACCGGCAAGCCCTTTCTACAACGATGTTTGTCCATCGGTAAACGACGTGGCCCGTTTCGTTCGTTAATAATAGCGGCAAAGAACGATCTTGTAACCGATCGTTGGCCGCGACCATTGGGCATTGTGCGCTGACTGTAATTTTCGTCACAGGGATTTTCCAAATTCGCCAGGTAACCACCGCTTTGCGGGGGAGCCGGTTACTCAAGCAACCTTCAGACCCAACCATTTTCAAGTCATTCAACCAGAGATGCACGCCACGTGTTTTCTGCAAGCTGCAAAGCGTTACGTCCACGGATTACTAATCGCCTCTGTGCGTCGAAATCAGAGTTAAAATACACGACACATGTCAACGTTGCGTATAATCGCTATGCTATGGTGCATTCTTTCTTTATTTTCAATGTGTGTGTACCAGCATGCTTTCTTTTATGCGCGTAAAAGGATTAAGAATCACGCCAAACAGAGGGAGAGAGAGAGAGAGGAAGTATAAACACAAAACGGAACGCAGATTGAACCGATAGAAATGTGCACGATGGCACGGCTAACCGTTCGAGGTTTATCCTGTAGTACTTTGGCGACATTTTCTGCGATAGTCGTCTCCTGTGGAGTTGTATCCACTAAATTTCAACAGATCGATCTTATCGATCGGTATTGCTCGATCGACCATCTGTCAAAGACACTCTTCAAGGGTTGCTAACCCTTTTCTGGACCTCTACTGGACTTTTACGGACGAGCGGTTACCCACAATGCGCTGTGAAAGGTGGACGAACAAAGGAAATGAACGGATACGTCGATTGCTCGATGCGTGACACGAATTTCCTCTATCGACGTGTCTGCACTTACCGTATGTTTTTGAGAGGCACCGCAAACATCAATTTCGCATCGATTATGTAATGTGCGAACAACAGCGTTATTTCTCAAGTGTTCGCTGGAAATTAGTCTATCGTTCTCCGTGCGTCTTTTAAACTCGATCAAATGATAAAACCTACATAAGATAAGAAAGAAACCGTGAAAAGAACGTCTACTTTCAATTTTTGAAACGTAATCTATATTGAAATTTTAATTTATTTCAATGACGAATTTATTCAACGAGTAGTGTAGAATATTCTATCAACGATATCTGCCTATTCTGGGAAAATCTTTCCGTTAGAAGATTTAGACATAACGTCAGTTTCCAATTACTTTGCGTGTTAATGCTTTTCCTATAGTCCGAGTATGAACCGAAAAATATAAATCAAATCTGAAACATCGAACGCAAACCTCGTACAATTTCTCGATTAAGTCAGTCGTTTCTGTAACTTCGATTCGTTCGACGACGCGACACCACGTAACGGAAACGTAGAGAACACGTGCAGACGCGCGACTCCTCCTTTAGGAAGAACAGGATCATAGAAGGTATCGTTTAATCGCGACGATTGCTCCAGGTCGCGATACGTTTAACTCGCAGCATGCACAAGCGCGCCTCTATGTACGTGCACGCGCGATCGTCCACGCACGGTAACACGAGAGGAAGTTAAATTAACGAGTGGAGCTCCGCACGGAGCGGAGTTTGTTGCAGGAGGGAAGCAGCCCGCGTATCTCGGATATGCAAATTCGTAATAACGCTGTACGCCCGCGTATTACCGCGCGCGGATCCTCGACGCGGCATGCTCGTTGAAATTTACCGGAACGAAAGCCGCATCGGATAACGCTATTACGTTATACCCCACATTTTTCTTCCCTGCTACGATATCGGTTTCTGTACTTACGCCCTGTGCGTTCTCCAGCGATTATCCGACATTTTCTTTGCCAAATTCGAGCAACCCTAGCAAGAGTTCTGACTCGTACAGCTATTTCTCGTTTACTACGTTACAATGTTTCGACGCCTGTGAAAAATATTCGCATGTCAATTTATTAGTTTTATTATTATTATAACATTGACGTGCTAAATTTGATACCGCGAACATGAAACGTAAAACGTGACGAAACAACGCTTCATTGGGGAACGGAAGTATGCGATGCGACAAAAAAATGTAATCCTCCAACAACCCTTGTGTCGATAGCGGAATAGACATTTTTATTTGTCCTTTAATAATTGTTTACGCTCTTACGGATATATCGCAAAATCGCTCTGGATCTTACTTCTTTAAACACCTTTACATCGACGTGAGTTGTTATTTCGGTTGCTCATATAAGGGTCGAACTGTCAATGAGACGCATCCCGATTAACCGCGCAGTTTTTAGCGAAACTGGAGGAAACGCGTAAATTCGATTTGAAGTTTGGCGCGTAACGCGCAAAGTGTATATTCTCCTTTGACCGCTCGCAATTACGCGGATATTAACTTGTGCGTTAACTAAATTTCCTCGAGTTACGAGCGTAACGCGTGAGATTAGCATACGAATGTAAAAAAACGCCGCAGTCCGGGGAAATCGAGCGAAACTTTTCGTTGGTTCACACGCGACAGGTGCGAACGCGCGAAACGAACGACGTCGTCGACGACGCGACGGTGCGACTTTACGCGCGAATTTTATGTTCCGTAAACAAGCTACTCTTGCAGAACCTTCCCCTTTGACGCTCGCGTGTGAAAATGACCAACGATTCCCAGTTCATCTTCGTTCTTCTTCTCCCTTTTTGTTCCTGCTACCGAACACAGTGGTACAAACGCTTAACGCATTCGCTATTAGTACAATACGAATCTTTACTTCTAGAGTTGCATCTTTTTTTTTTTTTTTTTTTTTTTTTTTTTTTTTTTTTTTTAGGAAAAATATTTCGCGTTAAGCAATTTTGAGCGCGAATTTTGAGATACGGTACGTCCGGTAGGAAATGACCGAGGGAATCCCTTGAAGACATTTCCGTTGGTATTTGCTTCCGGATTAAGGGACGACCGATGGGCACGTGTCTTTCCTGTCAGCGAAAAGGTTTCGCACGGCGAACGTTTCTTCTTCGCGTTTTCGATCCGTCCGATTCGAAGAAATTTGAAAATTATTCACGCTCGAATTAATAAAATTTATATCGGACATTTGAAGGTAATCGCACCTTTGTCGCAAACTCCTGCGAATAAGATACTTTTCTAGATTTTCAGAACATGTTTGTGTTGAACGCGTGTTCCATGTAATGTCATTAATCCATCAAAGCTCACCGTTGTATCTTCTA